TTTTTTTTTTTTTTTTTTTTGCATTTTTCCTTTAAAAAAACCGCGCTGCAACGTGTAAATTTTGTTTTGTAGAAGCAAAACATTAAACATTTCAAAAAATTTACAGATGCTCCAGAGTTTCACGATAAACCACATATTGTGCAACGTGATGGCGGCAACGTCATTGTCATAAAAGTTCGAGCCAAATCACATTTGGATATGAAAGCTGAATGGTATAAGGTAATGGTGGTGTATTATATCAATCAATCAAACACCCAAAACTTCTGTATTGGTCAACAAAATACAGCCGGCAAACTAATCTTAAGACTCAATCAACCTAACAGCTTACGAACAGCTTCCAGAACTACTTAGTAATTAAAATTTAAATTAACCTAGTAAGACTCAATCACTACACCTATACTAATCAGGACCATTTTATTTCAAAAATCTGATAAATTTTTTTTCAGCTACTTTCAGGAACAAATTTGTCTAGAAAAAAAATTTTTTTTCAATATGAACAGAGAATAAGAAAATGAGAATTGTCTCGCTTTCCTCAGCGGCCCCCCTATCACACTGCTGTGAGTAGGATAAATCACGTTAGCTGTTGAAATAAATAAATGAATTTGGAATAGATGATTTGAAAACTGAGAAGTTGGCAGAAGAAACGAAAAGATTAATACTGGTCGATCGTTACATTTGATACCTGGTAGAGATGTTGAAATAAAAAAAGAAAAGAAAAATTGAAACTGTTTGGTTTACAACTGTTACAGCTTATTGAATGTTTCTGGATTTTCGGCTTGTAAAATGAAATTTTGCAGAACGATAAACCAGTGAAATATACAGATCGTGTAAAAGCTGTGGTGAAAAAAGATGATAAAGATAAGAGCGGATACCAGTTCCTGTTGGAAATTACTGGACCAACAAAAGACGATGAAGCAAAATACAAGTGTATCGTCAAGAATTCAGAAGGACAAAATGAGCAGTCGTTAAACCTGGTGTTTGATTAGAAAGGAAGCGAACTGTTTATCAGTTTTTTTGGCACTCTTACACCTTAATTTCTTTTAACTTTTGTCATTCTCTTTTTTTTCTTATTTTTTTTTAATGGAAAGCTAAAGTTTTTCCAATTGCCAAGTCCGTCTGTCATTCAGCTTTTATAGCAGTTCTGGAAGAAAAAAAAAGCAAGAAATAATTTTATGACAATGTGTAATTTGTAATAGTTTATGTTACCTTTTCATTGATCACATCCTCTTTGATTACTATTGATAGTTTTCTTCTGTTCATTATGTATGCTCATATACAAAAATTGGGTAAATCAGTATATTGCTCAAAAGCAGGTCAAAACTTCATATCTGTTATTTCAGATGAGGCATTTATTCATCGTTGAGGTAAAGAAACAAAGAAAAGTGAAAAATCTGTTTCTTATTGCTTATTCAAGCTTGGTTTATTACATTTTCCTGTTGATAATAAAGCTCTGTGGAAAGTAAATTTCACTCAAAATAACTGCATTTATGAGTTACACATATCACAGAGACTAAAGTATAAAACTGTTTTTTTTATTAAAAATAACTTCAGCTGTTTATCCGTCTGATGTTCGTTGTAGTCGGTAAACAGGAAAAAAAAAACCTCTGACGAGAATCCTTACATAATAAGTAACTTAAGCTGATGCCAACGCTGAAGAAATTGTACAGTGTTGGCTGTTCGTGCATAACTGCAACGAAAATGTGGGCATTAATCATTTTGGTCGTTCAAAAAATCATCGATCTGTTGCAATGCCGACTGAAGTTTGGTAACCGTTATCATCTGTTCTTCATATCTACGACAGCATATGTACATCACTGTTTTCATGGTTTTAAAAGCAAAAAAATTCATTGCAAGCATTACTGTCAATATTCAATATACTATAAAGTTCACCTGCAGTTGGGCTATAATGAAGTGAAATGGCTTAATTGTGCGTCATTTGTGCAACGTAAAAATTTGCTTATAAAAGCTCTTATTTAGTTTCAGAAAATCGAGGTTGATTCCGCTCCTGGTTAGAACATCTCAAAATGACTCGGATAAAAAAGAATGATTTGTAGCTGAGCAATGTCGGTAGTGATAATAAAAGAAAAAGAAGACCGATCACTTTCCATACAAATCTTTTATTATTCATGAGCACTGCAAAAGGTTAGCAGCTAATGGTATATGTATCTAAAATTTTTCTTATAGCGTTACTGTTTGGGCAACTATCAGTGGTTACAGAAAACAGTAAAACAATTTTACTTTGAAACAACATTTCGTGGTTTTCTATCCAGAAGAACAAAATACGCTTGTCAAAACGGGATCATAAAATACAATAATCTTCCAAGAATCCTTTATTTTTTAGATGCTTTGTGTCCCTAAATTATGCTGTTCCGAGTATTTGGCGTATACGTTTCTGACTGTAAAGCTTATTTAGGTAAACATTAACAGTGATCATTCTTAACAAGTTGAAATTTGCAGTGTCATCTCAATAGAACGGTAAAAATTACCGACAAAAAACGAACCAATATTTTGGCTTCAAGTAAGACTGATTTGAAATAACAATTCATCGCTTTTTTGAATTTAGTAGATAAATTCCCAAGCAACTGAAATATTTCTTTGCAAGCTAAAAAATTTAAAATCTAACTAAGACTGCTGAATTTGTTCAGTATTACGATTTTTCAGTTTATTCATTGCATTTCCTTCGTCTAATAAACAATTTTACAGACTACTTGTTGTTAAACTGTGAATTTCTTTAGCTTTTAAGCTTCACTGAGTGCAATAATCTTACCCTATATATCAAGAAGAAAAAAAGTAACGTGCAAAAAGACGATTTTATTGCAGAGTTATTGAAAACTAAGTAAAAGTCAAAGCTTGTTAAAAAAAAGTTCAAAAATTCTATCCTATCTGAGCAAACTATATTTTATTTAACCAATTTCAATAGCCGATTTTTTTACTTACAAACAAAGGAAAAAAGACAAACGCCATTTGTTACTTTGCAGGCAGTTAGGGAAAACATTGTTAACTGCTACAAAAAATAAAAATCCAAATGAGCGTTGCAATAAAGGAACATTTTACAAATTTAAAGAAAAAAACTATTTTGCACATAAAATTTATAGATCGTAGGAGATGTCACACTTGCTGTTAACGGTGTTTGTGGTGTCTGTGCAGAATCAGAAGTTGCAAAATCGAAATTACAGTGCAACTTAACAGCAATAAACCTTCCCAATGCTTCGGCGATTATGGCAGTATCATTCCTTCGGTTTTAGTATATTACACTTAAGGAATTTTTCATTCTGCAATTGCTGTTGTCAGGCAGTTTGAAAAATTACTGTTTTTGAAAATTTATTCTAAAAAGGATAAATTATATATATATATATATATATATATATATATA